TTGGTAAGGCAACACCCATCTTTTCATATGCTGTGTATTTATACCTCCCTACTGTATTTTCCACTCCATGCATCTGATGAAGTGGGTTTTAGCCCACAAAAGCTTATGCCCAAATAAATTTGTTAGTCTTTAAGGTGCCACAAGGACTCCTCGTTGTTTTTGCTGATACAGACTAACACAGCTACCTCTCTGAAACCTGTCACCAATAATGTTTGAGTCACACGTCCAAACCCACTATTGTTTAAGTTGCCTTTGAAATTAGGCAAAACGAGTTCACCCATCTCTAGCAAATATCTGCTTAGCTATCTGAGAGTATTTTAATTAAACCAGTAGGTTTGCTTTTGTATCCTGCCGCCAGCTGCAAGACACGGCACCCGCTGCTGCTGTCAGATCCTAGGGGATCTTACAAGCTGAGCAGAGCTCTTCAGCATGACCTTCGTGTACTGCTTTCACTAGGGCACCGTCGTGGAGGAAAGCAGGTAGCATGGTTGAGAGAATGGGAGTTCTAGTCCCAGCTCTGCTAATAGCCTGCTGAGTGTCCTTGTCACTTCATCAGCCTCTGTTTCCCCTCCCACCTTTTTGTCTGTCCTGTCTTTAGGGCAGGAACTGCCTTTTATTATGTGCCGGCAAGGTACCTAGCACAATAGGGCCCTGATCTCTAGGCTCTTTTGTAATACAAATAATCATAACGAACTAGAGATGGTGGCAAAATTTCCAGTGGAACAATTTTTTGTTGGAAAATGCTGACTTGGCGGAATCGATACGTTCCATTGATTCTGTCAAAACTTTCACCAGAAACTAAGCTGGCTGGGGCAGGCTGTCTGCCTGGTTTCCTGCTATCTGAACTGCTTGCCCAAGTCCCCTGGCTCCTCAGCATCACAGCTGGTGGGACCTCTTGTATATCACAGGCTATTAAAAAATGTATTGAACCAAGCAGCTTGGGTTAGACTAAAACGTCTCTTCCACAAAAGCATCCAGTCTTGATTTCAAGATCTCAGGAGATGGAGACTCCATCACTTCCCTTGGTAGTTTGTTCCAGTCGTTAATCACCCTCACTACAAGCAAGAGGTGGTTTATTTCTAATTTTAATTTGTCTGGCTTTAACTTCCGGCAACTTGTTCATGTTATGCCAGACATATTGCATTGGTGGTCAGGTAGGGAAGCCTGGTTTAGAAGTAAACTGAAGGACCTGATTAGCATTTGCAAGCCCAGACTTGCCACCACCCACTTTTTCTCCTAAAAGGAAACAGAGGAAGAAACAAAAAATGGTTTCTATAATTGGGGACTAGGAAGCTCTCAGAGGGCAATACCAAACCTGTCTGTGAATCTCCATACTAAAGTCACAGCAAGGTAGCCTTCTCCTCCCCACATTACATATACAAATCTACTGACTGTAACTTGCAAAGACAGGTCAGTAAAGTTGCAGTCTTTCCATATCTCTCAGTCCAGACAGACTCCTTAGAAATTGACTATCATCATATGACCGGATTCTGCTTTCACTTACATTATTTTTGCCCCAGTGTAACTCCAGAGTCTTCAGTGGAGTTGTACTGGATTTACTCTGGTGTAAGAGAGACCAGATTCAAACCCATAAGATGAAATTGTGCTCTTAGTTCTTTTGGTATAAATCTGGAATTACTCCACTGACTCTAAGTTTATTCTGATTTACTCTGGCATAATAAAGATCAAAATATGTCCTGCAGTGTCTTATCACTCAGCTCCTAATGAATTTCAATATCTTACTTCCAGGCAAACAATGAAGTATCTCCTGGTATACCCCGGGGTCAATGAGAGCAGAGTTTAGTGCCATGACTTCATGATCCAGAGAAGAACAAGAGAAGTCAGCAAGCTGGAGACATAGAACTTGAAGGGGAATGACAGATGGAGAGGTTTGTGGAGCCCTGATAGGTAACTCTCACCAAACAGCTTCTGACAGGCAGAAATCACTTGTTAAGCAAAATGGTCAATGCATGCCAAGAACCGTGGAAGGGATTTCACAACTGCAGAGACTACATTTCAGGAAAGATTTATTTTATGGTAATCTTAATTTTTTCCCTCTGTTGCTTGTGCCATTCCACCGAATATCGAAAAGAGATTTATCAATGCTTCAGTGGCGCTTTTTCAAATAAACATTTAATTAGCTGGCAAAGCATGCCTCTAAATTAGATGCCATTAGACTGTTTCAAACCTATCCCCAGAGGATTGACAGCTGAGTAAGGAATATGTACACCTGAATAAATTTGCTGTTAAGTACCCATTGGCATTTAGTTAATAATATGCAATAGTATGTAAACTCTAAATGAAACATGAGATAAAAATATAATGCATGTTTTTAGTATCACTCAATCAACTCTGGAAAGTAGCATATGTCTATCCCACTGTGAATTTGCCTGATGATACATTTTTTAATTACTTGATAATTTGCTATTTTTCCACCTGCCTCTTTCAGGACACAGAGGGGTAGAATTAAGGTTGCACTGAAAACCAAAAATCTGGCATTTCCTAACTTTTGAATACTTGACTTTACAACCTAACTAACTTTCTCTGAATGTAGCTTTTTGTATATAGAATGTATATTTACATGAAGGCCACTTTACACCAACTGAGTCATGGAAAGGGGCCTCAAAGTGCACACAAATCCCACTTTGAGTATGTCTACACTGCAGCTAGGAGCAAATGAAATGACAGCTTGTAAGCACCCTGAGAGTGCACATTCCTTCTGTCTGACATTCCCCTGGTTATTCGAGCTGAGAGAGAGAGCAATTGGCAGGAGCTGGCTGGGAAGGAATGAAGGTTTCAGTGTGTTTATTTAGAATCATAGAATTGTAGGACTTGAAGGGAACTCGAGAGGTCATCTAGTCCAGTCCCCTGCACTCATGGCAGGACTAAGTATTATCTAGACCATCCCTGACAGGTGTTTGGAGATTTTTAAGAGCAGATAAGACAATGATGGAGATTCCACAACCTCCCTAGGCAATTTATTCCAGTGCTTAATCACCCTGACAGGAATTTTTTCCTAATGTGGAACCTAAACTACCCTTCCTGCAATTTAAGCCCATTGCTTCTTGTCCTATCCTCAGAGGTTTACAAGAACAATTTATCTGTTTCCTCCTTTTATGTACTTGAAAACTGTTATGCCCCCCTCTCAGTCGTCTCTTCTCCAGACTAAGCAAACCCATTTTTTTCAAACTTCCCTCATAGGTCATGTTTTCTAGACCTTTCATTATTTTTGTTGCGCTTCTCTGGACTTTCTCCAATTTGTCCACATCCTTCCTGAAATGTGGTGTCAGAACTGGACACAAGACACTGGTTGAGGCCTAATCAACATGGAATAGAGCAGATGAATTACTTCTTGTGTCTTGCTTACAACACTCCTGCTAATACAAGAATAAGTGAGCAATCTACCTTGCACCACAGAGAATTGTATTGTACCATTAGCTTTGGATTAAATATACATTAATTGATCGCCAATTTCGTTGCACCTGGTTTTCATCAATTACTCTGTCTATGGTAAGCATCCACTACTGCAGCTCCCTCTGCCTCTTACTAATTAGGGCTAAAGCCTCAGATGGCTGTAAATCAGCATCACTCCAATGATGTCAGTGAGGCCATGTCAACTTACAATTGCCAAGGCTCTGGTCCTCTGAGTGTCTCTTTTAGTCCCTATCTTCACACTGCCAGTGTCTGCTTTTCCTTCTCTTGGTGTAAAGATTAGAAATGGTCCAAACTTGGCTGATGATGTTTTGCAAATCTTCGGAGGGCATTTGTAAAGCTTACTCAGGTTCTGGTATCAACCTCAATTACTATGGTGTAAAGCCAGGGTAGCTTCCCTGAAGCCATTACTCTGGATTGGTACTCGGGTGACTGAGAGCAGAATCTGAACTTCAAGGATCTAATCTTCTCTTTACCCAAACCTGGTTGTGTAAATTAAAATCTTGGGTTATTTCCAGAGAGATTCAATTTGAAAACAATAAGAAGTGATGAGACATTTATGCTGTCAGGAAGCTTGTGATGGTATAGTTGGCATGTGACGGCAGTTTGGTATGCTGGAAAGCGTATGAACTTGGACAGACATTGCTCTGAGTTACCTCTCTGTAAATGCTGAGTAAGACAAACGCTGATCTCGTAATTAAGGTACTGGACTGGCACTCAGGAGTTCCTGGTTAAACTCTTGACTTTGCCACATGCTTTCTGTGTGATCTTGGGCTAGCCAATATAAATTCTCATGCCTCAGTTTCCCCACATGTAAAATGATAATGGTAATGATGCTTTCCTTCTTCTTGGAGGTGGAGATAAATTCATTAATATTTGTGAGATGCTGAAATACTTGGTGATGAGGACCATATAAGCAGATGGATAATTGCAATGAAACCAACAATTACTCCAGTTTTATGATGGTTTAAGTGACAGCAGACTCTTGGCCCACTGTATACACTATTCTCATTAGAATTGTCTCCCCCTCTGTGATCTGTTTTCCCCCACATATTTCTCCCTCTGCCTCTCTTGATGCCCCATTTTTCACCAGCCTCCCGCCTACCTCCACCTCAACTCTCCTTCTTTCTTGCATCCTCTCTGAAGCAGAATGTGAACCCAGTACTGTTTGAAGTCATATCAAACCCATGAAACCATGGTGTCCCAGTGGTTTTGACGAGAGTGACAATGACCCATCCCTAATAAAAACAGGGTAAAATGTGTTTCTGCATGCAGGAATGCAGGACTGAGCCATCCAAGTGCTGCCATATAATCAGATTAATGTTCACATCCTCTGGCAAAAAACACACTGTACCAAAGACAAGAAATGCTTGTTATTTGCTGAGCTGTGCACTGGTTTCCGGATGTACCGAGTAACTTATAAGCTTTTTCCACTGGCTTGGCTTTTACAACAAGAGGAGACTTTGGGTAAGTGATTAAGAGTTGTGCAAACAGCTTTTCGTCACCCCTGGGTGGCATTTGCATTATAAACCAGGCAAATTATATTGATAGTCAGTTACAGGCCTTACCTTTTCTGCTTGCATGTGTAATGCCATCCTCTGGGGGAGCCAGGCCCTGAAAGAAAAGTAAGGAAGCCGATATTTATTCTAGGCCCTATGAATATTTGTGTTCAAGGTACAGAGTGGTTTTAAGATATGTTCTATTACATTCTGTCCCTGAAGAGTGAAATTCAATCTGAGCAGCAGACCAGCACAAGGCCTTATCCATCACTTGTGTCCCGTGGTGTCCTACAAGCAAGAGGTGGTTTATTTCTCATTTTAATTTGTCTATCCTCCAATTCTGGCTGTGACTAGAACCAGAAGTGCTGAAATGACAGGCAAAAGGATCTTCGTTCAGTGGCCACAAGGCAGAAATACCTGAAAATGTCAAGGGAACATACTTGACAGTGGGCTAAAGTCTGGTGAGTCCTGCGATGGTTAGGTGGAAAGAGGGAAGAAAGGTTGAGAGTAAAAGGCATTACTTGGTCTGATGTTCTGTAAATCTGTCTGAGGCACAAGGATCAGCCTTGTTATCCCTTCCACTCCTTCAACTCCTGAGGTGCTAGTCCTAAGTGTCCATGAATATTTTTAATATAACACCTTGGCCAACTCTGCCTGTGACCCCCTTCTGTGACTGACCCACAGATCAGCTGCTACAGCTATCATCTAAGGCACTTCCTCTTTTAGTCCAAATGGTAGAAGTTTGTACGACGCAGCTAGAGATCTATTTAGGTACTTATATGACCCTTGTTACTGTAACATCTGAGGGCCAGATCCCCAAACGTATTTAGGTGCCTAACACCCTAAGGAAACTAGTGGGAGTTAGGTGCCTAAATGCCTCTGACGATCTTGGCCTAAGTGACTTTCAGCCATTAAAGGATTTTACCTTCTAAGGATCCCCATGCGGTAGGGAAAAAATGCTATCTCCATTTTACAGAGGGAGACCAGAGGCATGGGGTAGAATGGCTGACTTGGCCAAGATCACTAAGGGAAGCTGTAGCTGAGCTGGGAATTAAAGACAAGTCTCCTGTACTTCAATCCAGGGCCCTAGCCATTAGACCGTCTTTCCCACCATGGGACCCCACAACCAAGGACTCAGGGCATTACATCTCAATGCAATATACCTGGTTCTAAAAAGAGGTGGGCACATTTTGCCCTGTGAAGAAGGAACTTTGCATCTACAATTACATTTCACATGGGCTGTTAATCACAGGTAACTCACGCGATTAACTCAAAAAAATTAACTGCGATTTAAAAAATTAATTGTGATTAATCGCAGTGTTAAACAATGGAATATCAGTTGAAATGTATTAAATATTTTGGGATGTTTTTCTACATTTTCAAATATATTGATTTCTGTTACAACACAGAATACAAAATGCACAGAACTCACTTTATATTATTATTTTTTATTTGAAATATTTGCACTGTAAAAATGATAAAAGAAATAGTATTTTTGAGGTTTCACCTCATACAGGTACTGTAGTGCAATCTCTTTATTGTGCAAGTGTAACTTACAAATGTAGATTTTTTGTTTGTTCCATAACTGCACTCAAAAACAAAACAATGTAAAACTTTAAAGCCTACAAGTCCACTCAGTCCTACTTCAGCCAGTCTTCAGTCTTCAGCAACCTGTAGTCGCTCAGACAAACAAGTTTGTTTACATTTACGGGAGATAATGCTGCCTGCTTCTTATTTACAATGTCACCTGAAAGTGAGAACAGGTGTTTGCATGGCACTTTGTAGCCGGCGTGGCAAGGTATTTACATGCCAGATATGCTAAATATTCATATGCCCCTTCATGCTTCGGCCACCATTCCAGAGGACATGCTTCCATGCTGATGACGCTCGTTAAAATAATAATGTGTTAATTAAATTTGTGACTGAACTCCTTGGGGGAGAATTGCAAGTCTCCTGCTCTGTTTTACCCACATTCTGCCATATATTTCATGGTATAGCCATCTTGGATGCTGACCCAGCACATTAGTGTTCATTTTAAGAACACTTTCACAGCAGATTTGACAAAACACAAAGAAGGTACCAATGTGAGATTTCTAAAGATAGCTACAGCACTCAATGCAAGATTTAAGAATCTGAAATGCCTTCCAAAATCTGAGAGTGATGAAGTGCGGAGAATTCTTTCAGATGTCTTAAAAGAGGAACACTCCGATGTGGAAACTACAGAACCCAAACCACCAAAAAAGAAAATCAACCTTCTGCTGGCGGCAGCTGACTCAGATGATGAAAATGAACCTGTGTTGGTTCACTCTGCTTTAGATTGTTATCAAGCAGAACCTGTCATCAGCATGGACGCATGTCCCCTGGAATGGTGGTTGAAGCATGATGGGACATGATTCTTTAGCGAATCTAGCATGTAAATAACTTGTGATGCCGACCGACTACAAGAGTGCCATGCGAACACCTGTTCTCACTTTCAGGTGACATTGTAAACAAGATGTAAACAAGCATTATCTCCAGCAAATTGTAACCAAACTTGTTTGAGCGATTGGCTGAAGTAGGACTGAGTGGACTTATAGGCTCTAAAGTTTTACATTGTTTCATTTTTGAATGCAGTTATTTATTGTACATAATTCTACATTTGTAAGTTCAACTTTCATGATAAAGGGATTGCACTACAGTACTTGTACTAGGTGAATTGAAATATACTATTTTGTTTTTTACAGTGCAAATATTTGTAATAAAAATAAATATAAAGTGAGCACTGTACACTTTGTATTCTGTGTTGTAACTGAAATTAATATGTTTGAAAATGTAGAAAACATCCAAAAATATTTAAATAAATGGTATTCTATTATTGTTTAACAGTGCGATTAATCCCTATTCATTTTTTTAATCGCGTGATTAATTTTTTTAATCATTTCACTAAATGGAATCAGGCGATGGTTGTTTATAAAGGAGTGTTTTGCAAAGCAATTGAGCCATTAGTGTTCGAGCGAGGCATTCACCTTTCAAACCTTCCTCTGCGATAGAGGTTAGGAGAAAAAATATATAAATCTGACGACTTGTAGTTTGCTATGCAGATGGGGGGACTTGAGGGAAATTAAAATGCACTAATGTGTCGCATTCCTGCTTGGAAAGTCTCAGAATGGATGGAAAATAACAGAAACTAATGCATCTTATTTCAAGAATAATTGAGTAGACACCCAAATAAAACTTTAGTGCTTGCTTCTAAGGGGGGGGGGGGGTGCGTTTCCTTTCCCACAGCAAGAAGATTCAGTTTAATGCTCTAATTTGAAATGTAAAGCATTCCCCTCTAGGTGCTCAAAGAGATGAAAGTGTATTGTACAGGCCTGGGAAAAATTCATTATAAATCTGCAATGGCAGTGCGTGCGGGTGATGAATGGTCTCAATCATCACAAGCAGAATGATTTCCGTTTGCTTCATCAGAGAAAATGATAATCATGTGCCAGGGAAAAATCAGCTTTTAAAAAGTGCTTTTATAAAAAACCTTCCCAAACCAAATCAGCCTGGTGTCTCACTTGTCATCTAATCAAAATCATCTTGATAAATGGCTCTTGCAGACCCCGCTCCCTGGGAGAAAAACTGCAAAGGTCTCATATCCCCTGACTGGAAAGGAATGATACCCATAATAATTAAACAACTACGCAATAACAAACAACGAGGTATGAGGATTACTGTTGCATCAGATGCCACGACATGCCCTGCAGAAGATATGAGTAGGGATGGATGAATGGGCTTGGAAAAAAGAAGTACTCTTTCACCAGATTCTATGCCTCTTTCTAAAACTGAATTTGAATACAGAGCCAAATTCAGCTACTATAAGTAGGTGTTACTTAGTTGACTTCAGTGCACTTGCACTGGCATGAGCCTGTTCTGAAACTTTCTTTCTTTCCGTTCAGATAACATTTTTCAGCCACTTGTGGGTATCTCAACATCCAGACTCCAACCAGAACCTACAACACTGAGCGGTCACCAAAATCTCCATTCCCGTCTGGGCCCACACGTGGAGAGAAAAACTGTTATTATGAGCAATTTAGCCTAGATTTTGCAGACCCAAGTGGTTTGAATTCAGTAGTTGGGATAAGATTCAGATAAGCATCCTGACTTACAGGTGTTGTAGTCAACCTGACTCCAAATTCCCTGGGGTGAAATCCTGAGCATTTGAACGTAGTGGGAGGGTTTGCTATTGCCTTAGTTGAAGCCTTGAATTCACCCCCAACCATTTGAGATTCACCCTTGACTTGAGAGGATACAGGCTGAGTATCTTTAGCTGCCTTAGGATTGAAAGTCCATTTTACCTGCATTCATTGAAGTGTGGGATTGTTCTTACAAAATCCATATAGAGGCACTTAACTAACATAGTGCTATACAAACACATCAGGGCAGCATCCTTAGTTCAGGAGTTTTGGGGTGCTGAGCCTACACCACTCTTATGCACTTCAGCCAGAGCCATGCATGTTCAGCTGCTCTGAAAATGGGGCTCCGGGAGCGAAATCTTGGACCTATCAAAATCAATGGGAGTTTTGCCCTAGGATGTCACCCTACTTAAACCATCTATTATTAAAACAACAGTTCCCCATTTTTCTGCCTTTTAAGAGGTGCAAGAATATGAAGACAGAAAAAATTAATGACTGAGTCCCAGCCATTACAGCTAGCCCCTATATTCCCACAGGGCCTATAATCAGCTACCTAATTCTTAATCTTTGTATTTGCTTGTTACAGCAGAGGCTGTAAAATGTACATCCCAGTTGCACCAGCATCATAATCCTTCATACTTTTCATCTGTGGACCTCAAAGTGGGTGAGCATCATTACTTTCATTTTACAGATGGGGAAACTGAGGCAGCGGCAATTTAAGCAGCTTGCCCAAACTCTCACACAGTCAAAGGAAGAACTGGGAATAATGATCCACATCTCCTGGCTCAAGCCTCACACTTGAGCTGACAAGGGGCATCATTACAAATGCAGGTGTAACTACAAGGAATGATTTTAGTATTGGTGAACGGTACCAGGCTCACAGCCTGGGACCATGAAGGATACTGTTTAACCATAGAAAGGTTACAGCATGGGTTCGAGCGGAGGGGGTCTTGCTCCTATCAAGATGCCTTAGTCCTGTTCTGCAGGGTTCTATTTTAGTAGGTGGCTCATTTTCCATGGTATTCAGTTCTTGCTGTCTCTGCCACGTTTGCCCACTAGGGGGCATTCTTTAATGCAAATTGCAACATTTCCACCTAGGAAATGGAGTGAAATTTTTAGAAGTCATGTTATCCAGTGTTCTAAACAGCCATCGGATAGGAATTACTTCTGGACATTACTGAGCCGGGCTGGATTCCAGCTGGTGAAATTGTTCTAGAATTTTAACCATAACAGGTTTGAAAACTAGATCATTCCGTATAATTACTGGGCACGTACGTATACAATTTTACGTTATTGCTGGAATAGGGCTGAATGGCTCTGGGGAAAAAACCCCAAATCCTATCAGGTTGGAAACATGAGCATGTAGAAACCCCTGAAGTGTCATGTCCCGGTGTGTAGTTATGATGGCTGGTAAAATACAAGCTTAGGGATGAATAGGGGGTCTACTATTGCCACGTTCACGGCAACATTTTGCTACAACCAGGTAACTTAAGGTTGGTGCTCCATAATAATTATTGTTTACAACACACCCTCTGCCCCAGTGTGCTTCACTGAGGAAATACATACAGCAACAATGAAATGCAGACACCTCTGATGTGCAGGACATCAGCCTCACACAGCTGCAATGAGAAAGAGAAATTTGGTCCAAGGTCCCCCATGGCAAACCCTTCTGCTTTTATGAAAAACAAGGTCTCACATAAAAGGCGAGATACAGTAAATGGGAAGATGCTCGATGTATCTCTAGCAGAAGCATGAAGAATTGAGTTGGCTGTATCTCAATACACAGTTCCAAGGAGTCTAAACTTACACTGCTAAGCCTTTGCCGCTAGAGAAGTGGGTGTGAGGAAGATTTTTTTGCTGCGCTATGAAACGAACTAGGACGGATTATTATTTAATAACATTTGTATTAGATCCAGAGGGATGACTGGATTTATGGGTGGTTGTTTATTGTGATCTTCCATGTTGTATAATCCATGTCCGGGGTATCTTGATTTCAGGTCTGCAGAGTTTCTCTGCTTTTTTATCGAATTTCACCCTATGTAAGGTCCTTAATCGTGAACCATTTTTTTTTAGTGGAAATTTGTTAAGAGGGAGATTTTCAACAGCACAAATGAGGGATAGGCAGCCAACTTCCATTGATGGTCAATAGGCATTGGCTACCTAACTTCCCTGTGTGCTTTGGAAATCGCCCATCAATCCAGCTGAAAAAGACACTTTCGAGACAATCAAAACAGCCCCTGGGTCTGATCCAACGCCATGGTTGGGTACAGTGTGTCACAGGACTGAGCCCTATGGTTCCAATGATGAGACCTTCCGAAAAACACTTGCATTGTGGGGTGCATTAAGAAAGCACCTAGACTAGAGGATCCCCTAACTCAACAGCAACAAACATAGCTCTCGGAGGAGTTCCTGCCCCATCTTACACTGAGCGGGGGCATGACGGCGGATGCATGTTCCAAATGAGAACCGCATCCCACTGTGGAACTGCTCCTGGGGTGTCACAGTTCATCATTTGGGCTTGAAGGTTAGTCACTTCCCCATTGAAGGAGAGTAAAGGGACCATAGGGAGAAGATTTAGGCATGTGAGTTCTTCAGCGTCTTGAAAGCAAGACCAGGAGACACATTCCTTACTCCCTAATTCCCCCATGCAGAACAAAATTGCAGCATGATTCTCTGTATCACACACCTGAGCTATCAGCTTGCTGCTTTCTCCTTTTGCAAGCTCTGTTTCCAAAATGAGCAACCTTAATCCTTCATTATCGTTCCTCTGGCATTCAGTGTGACAGCATTTATCCTGATGCAGCACTAATTCAGTGTCAAATTTAGTGTTAATAAGTATCACTGGAACCAACATTATGTGGGATCTATGCAGTAATTAATGAAACCATTATTTTAGGTGTTTCCTTAATGTCGCACTAGTTGATTATTATGTTAAACTACGTGAGTCTCATTCTGACATTGCTTACACTGGTTTTATCATAGTGTAACAACCTTGATTTCAATTAGGTGACTCCTTATTTACAATGATGTAACAGAGAGATGAATTAGGCCCTGAGGTTTCATTTTTAGGTAAATTCCAGATAGTTCCACACAGACTTGATTTAGTAATTCAAGAGAAAAGAACATGATGGGTAGCATTTTTCAACTCAACTTTCTCCCATAAAGCTGGGTCTTTAGCTTCTGTAGCTTTCCTTCTAACAGGTGCAGTGATGCATCTTTAGCACTTGGATTTATAATAAGATTTCCAACCCCACTGTGTGAAAGCCTGGCTCCACTGAAGATAATGGCAAAACTCTCGCTGATTTCAATAGCTTCAAGATTTTATCCACTATGTGCATAATCAGCTGTACAGAGAAATATAGCCCCATCGCCCAATCCTGATATACACCATTGGCTCCCCGTTCATTCCAAGATCCAGCTCAGAGCTCTCCTCTTTTATTTTAAAATACTCCACAGGCTTGTTGACAACCTACCTCAGAGTTCCCCATTTTTCTTGCTCCTTATCTGCAGTTAGCACTGCCCTGCTCGCTTGTTCCTTCCCCCAAACTTGACACTCAGTTCAAGAGCCTTATCCTCTGCAGCTCGTGCTAGTTTGGAATGGCTTCTCTGCATCCCTCTACCTCGATGACCTCTCCATTGCTTTCCAAAGCTAATCTGAAAACATCTATCCTCCATGTCTCTCTCCGTCCATTAATGAGCTTGAAATCTGCATGCTTGCAGGAATGTACTATGCAATGCCTTTGAAGCATTACTTCCCCCCGGCCCTTGCAAACTACCATTCCTTGCAAATACATGGTGTCATACACAGTGGTTCCTTCTATCACATCAATCAATAAAGCATTTTGGCAAAGCATCACAGCACTATAAGAATTGCTATGCTGGCTCAGACCGCAGGTCCCCCTAGCCCCGTGTCCTGCCTCTGATGGTAGCCAGAACCAGATGCATCGGAGGAAAGTATAAGAACCAAGCAGTAAAAACCTGCCCTCTATAAAGGTCTCATTCTAGCCTTTCCTGATGGATTATGTCCTGGAGCATGAAGTTTTCTATTTCTCTTGTGTGGAAGATATTGTGCACAAGAAATCAGTATTGTACTGAGAGAAAATAAATAATTTCCTTATAACATCTCTCTCTTTCTCTGTTTTGCCTTTATCCTAATCTACATTTTTTTGTGGGCCAGTGACTGAATCTCCAGTTGCAAGGACCTTCTTAGAGAGCAGGAGTAAAAAAGAGACTGAAGGAGAAAAGCTGTCAGTGACTTACCTTCCTCTGAACGATTAGGACCATGACGGTTGCTAGAGCAAAGACGAGGCACACCGTGAGGGAAGCTGTGGTGAAATAGAAGTATCTCTTGTTAGTGGCACGGAGCCTCCTTGGAACACCGGCTTCAGTCATGTTCATGGCTGCTTCATGAGAATCATTCACCGGGAAAAATGTTTGCTCTGGCGAGGAGCACATTCTTATATAGCCCTCAGCTCACCACTCCGTATCTCCCCTTGATCAGCTTCTCATTCACAGCCCATCTCTGTTCCTAGCAGGATTTTCCCCCTTCATCCTGGGCTCATGTGACCTGGAAAAAAAGCTTCATCATTTGTGGTACGAAGAAAAAGGGACCCGGGGGCGTGAGGCAGGATGCAGCCGTGAAGAGGGGAAGGAGCTTCATGTTCTTGATCAGGGATTTCGTGAAGGCAGCCGCTCATACTGCACCGGTTTCTGATGTCAGAAGGTGAATGGTAACCAAGGTTGGTCCGTCCCCCCCCTCCCCTTCCACCCTCTTTCTGTGAAACTGAGTGCAAGGCAAATGCTGTTTCACTTCCTACTCAACTGCAGGGACAGTTCAGTACAGTAAATCACCCCAGCTGGCATCCTCCTGTTTCACAGTGTAGTTCCTGCTCATTCTTAGTCAAGTGTTATAGGACTGCAAGCTCCTTGTCTCTTTTCGAGATCCGGGTCCAGGTGTGATTGAGCCGACACGCGTTTGGTGACCATCCGTCCTGACAGTCATGATTTGGAAACATTGGGTGGGATTTTCATAAGTGGCTACATGACTTAGGAACACAAGCCCCATTGAAAGTTAGTGGGACTCAGGGTCCTAAATCACTTTGGGCATGTCTACACTGCACTTGGAAGTGTGGCTCCCAGCCTGGAGAGACAGACCCACACTAGCTCTGCCTGAGCGAGCATGCTAAAAATAGCAGGGTGGCATGGGTGGCACAGCAGATTCAGAGCTGAAAAGACCTTGCAATGGCCTGACAGCAGCAATTATGCTGGGAGGGAGTGCTGGATGGACTCCTTTCCTGGTGGAATTCAGAGAAATAGCTCAGGTAGGAAGATGGCTGCCTAGAAAAGAAGGGTAGTTTTGTGGTGAATGAAGTAGGCTGAGTCTCAGCAAAACCAGTTTTGTTTCCAGTGAGCTGTCGCACACCACACAGTCCATCTGTGCCTCAGTTATCCAGCTGTGAAATGGGGACAATAATGCCTTTTTACTAAACTGTCTATTTAGACTACATGATGTTTGCACGGAGACTTGCTCTTCCTATGTACAGTACCTGGCACTGTGAGGCCCCAGTCTTGGTTGGGCCTCAGGCACCACTGTAATAAACATCAGTAAGAGTAATAATTATACCTGTACTGTAATACATATAATCGTTCTAATAGGCGGGCACGCAGATACGATGCTGGTGATGGCTGTATAAGTAGATAGATTAATGAAGTTTGGTGAAAAAAAATGGCTGGATATCTTAGGTCAAATTCAGCCCTGGTGTAAAGAAGCACAATGCTCATTGAACTGTTTCTCCACCATTTTTTGCGCTAAGGTGAAAACTGGATGTTAACCCACTCCTTACATTGACATTAAACAACTGCATTATTTGGCCCAGCCGTTCTTTCTCCAAGATGTTTTCAGCAGTTTTCCAATAAAATAAAAGAGAAACATCTTCCTCTATGAACGTTCCTTTTTCTGGTACCCATTCAACCCCCGGCCACTTCTTGTAGAACTCTGCTCTTAGTCTCATGCCTGCGTCACTCACGACTGCAGGCTGCTACTTAAAGACAGCAAACACAACAATGTAAACGTAGGCACAAATTCAGCTTCCCCTTTCATATGAAAAGTGCATACTTCTGTTAGGCAGCACTCTCTGGTTTCCGGTATAGGGTGTTGTTTATATGACCATCGCTTATTTGCACTGTAGTGTCCAGGAAGTGGATCTCTTGTGCGGACTGGTCCAGGCTGAGGTTGATGGTGGGGTGGAAATTGTTGAAATCCTGGCGGAATTCCTCAAGGGCCTCCTTCCCATGGGTCCAGATGATGAAGATGTCATCAGTGTAGCACAAGAAGAAGTAGGGGCATTAGGGGACGAGAGCTGAGGAAGCATTGTTCTAAGTCAGCCATAAAAATCTGGCATACTGTGGGGCCATGCAGATACCCATAGCAGTCCCACTGACTTGAAGGTATACATTGTCCCCAAATCTGAAATAGTTGTGGGTGAGGACAAAGTCACAAAGTTCAGCCACCAGGTTTGCCATGACATTATCCGTGATACTGTTCCACAAAGTCCATCTTTGTGTGGAATGTTGGTGTAGAGAGCTTCTACACTACAATACCGACCTGGTGAAGTGAAGAAACAGATTGACAGAGCCAGAAGGGTACCCAGAAGTCACCTATTACAGGACAGGCCCAACAAAGAAAGTAACAGAACACCACTAACTGTCACATTCAGCCCCCAACTAAAACCTCTCTAGCGCATCATCAAGGATCTACAACCTATCCTGAAGGATGATCCCTCACTCTCACAGACCTTGGGAGACAGGTCAGTCCTTGCTTACAGACAGCCCCCCCAACCTGAAGCAAATACTCACCAACAACTACACACCACACAACAAAAAGACTAACCCAGGAACCAATCCCTGCAACAAACCCCGGTGCCAACTTTGTCTGCATATCTATTCAAGGGACACCATCATAGGACCTAACCCTATCAGCCACACCATCAGGGGCTCGTTCACTTGCACATCTACCAGTGTGATATATGCCATCATGTGCCAGCAATGTGCCCTCTGCCATGTACATTGGCCAGACTGGACAGTCTCTATGCAAAAGAATAAATGGGCACAAATCTGACATCAAGAATTATAACATTTAAAAACCAGTAGGAGAACACTTTAATCTCCCTGTCACTCAATAACAGACTTAAAAGTGGCCATTCTTCAACAACAAAACTTCAGAAACAGACTTCAACAAGAAACTGAAGAACTGGAATTAATTTGCAAACTGGACACCATCAAATTAGGCCTGAATAAAGACTGGAAGTGGCTGGGTCACTACGTAATTTTCCCTCTGTTGATACTCACCCCTTCTTGTCAATTGTTGGGAATGGACAACGTCCACCTTGACTGAATTAGCCTCATTAGCACTACAGAAAGTAATTTTCCCTCTGTTGATATTCACCCCTTCTTGTCAACTGTTTAGAATAAGCCACTTCCACCTTGATTGAATTGGCCTCATTAGCACTGACCCCCCTCTTGGTAAGGCAACTCCCATCTTTTCATGTGCTGTAACATATATACCGCTTACTGTATTTTTCACTCCATGGATCTGATGAAATGCATTTTTGCCCACGAAAGCTTATGCTCAAATAAATTTGTTAGTCTCTAAGGTTCCACAAGGACTCCTAGTTGTTTTTGCTGATACAGACTAACATGGCTGCTACCCTGAAACCTGTCATTAAGCTAAGTGGTTATCTTAGAGCAATTAGCAGCTTTCTAATGGTATCCATTGTAGGATGAACAGATGCTTCAAAAATTGCCCCCATAACTGAGTGATAGACCCTGCACCTCATCAGTCAATCAAATCAAGGTGAGCTTGTGGTGTGAGTGGCAAGCGCTGTGTGTAGGGAGCTGGGAGAGGATTCACTACCATTGAAAACAGGCTTGTGTGTCCCATGAACACTGGCCTGAGTACAACTACAACATTTCCAAACACATCCCCAGAGTGATGCTCCATCACTGCCTGGATTCTGTCATCAGCTCTGGACGCGCTCCCCTATCATCTCCCTGGTTATCTCGTGAACTTCTGGAATGCAGAGCTGCAGGCCAGTATGCTGTGTGCAGCTTCAAGGAGCTTCATATGAACGTTTGAACGTAGCTGCGGCTGTAGCGGCTTAAAGGCAGAGTGTAGCCAGGTCTTCGCATTGACTCTTGAATACACGAAATGTAGCACACTGCAGCATCTGCGCTACAGATCAGCAGCCAGATCTTTTCTCTGCCGTTGTGTGAAAGGACAAGAAGGGAGAAAACAAGTGAACCACAAAACCAGCAATGCTAATTGTTTCTTTGCAGAGTACACAAGTGACTTCTCTTACAGGGAAGCAAAAAAAAAAAAGGAGAGAAAAAGCCCTAACTCCAACTTAACATTGAACTAGTTTTAAGTGGAAAGGAAAAATATCAAACTTGTTGAATAGGCTCAAACTATCCAACATAGCTTACGTAAAATTCCCCCCTGCATGAAGTCACTGCGAACCGAGGCTCTTCAGTACCTCTCATGAGGCACTTGCCCTCTCCCTGAAGGAGGTCTAGGTGCTGTCAAAATCTTCCTATTCTTTTGCATTTATGCCATTGTAGCCCGCCTGCCAGAATCTGGCCCATAGTTTGTGAACAACTATCTTATCTCTAGGCAGATTTTTGTCACGAACATTTGATGAGTCAGAAGGGTGCCTGGAATGTAGATGAAAATGAATAAAAGGTCTTACACAGCAAATATTTGGTATTAGGAGAGGGGGCCTCTGACTCATCTCCACATTGAACCACTCAGACAGGCCCCTCCAGCAAGCAGTGCCCATCACTTTAGACTCAGCTGCACCTCTGTCCCACACGTCCTTACGATTACACTGGTAAAGCATTGGAAACCGGAAATGCAGAATCAGAAAACTGAGGTTATTGAAAATATGTATGCTCAAGATGAGTCACACCCTTTAAAATTCCCAGAGTGAATCATTTTCTCGCATCTCTCTTTGGCCTACATTATATTCTAGATTGGGGCCTGGGTGGGTTGAGTAACGCATTCAGAACTTTCTGGGACATGGATGCCGTTGTGAGGGACCTTTCCACTATGAGCGCTCTGATGCATCACTCATAATGGATACTACCGTTTTCTGTGCTGCTGGTATAAAACTTGGGGTTTCAGCCCTGGGAGCTGAATAGGTTGCATCCACCCTACCCTTCCCATATTGACAAATGGAAGCAGGTTAATCCAGCTTGATGTCCCAGAGCTGCGGGTTTCCAGTACTGAAATGGGTGTGTCAACATGGAAAAGGCTAAGAAACACTGAATACAATTTTCAAAAATACCTAAGGCCCAGATCCTCCAAGGTATTGTGGCACCCAACGCTCATGGAAATCAATGGAAGTTAGGCGCCTAAATACCTTTGAGGATCTGAGTAAGTGACTTAGCTGCCTAAGTCCCTCTGGAAG